GAGGGAGTGGCCTGGAGAGAGGGGAGCGGAGCCCTCCCTCGATGGCCGGGACCTTGAGGACACGGTACCCGTCTCCCGCGCATCCATCCCCGGCCCAGAGCCGCCCCCCGTGAAGCCCTCCCCAAATGGTCCCCAGGCTGGATCGGGGCAGCAGAGCTGCTTCTGCCAGGAACAAGCAGCCTCTTCCTGCACGTTCCTCCATACCTTGGCACAAGAGAATGAGAACAGCTTTGCAGGAACATTCGCTTCCTCCTCTTTTTTTGTTGTTTTTGCTTCATTTTATGATTTTTTTTCCTTTTTTTTTTTTTTTTTTTTTTTTTTTTTATAAACATGTTTCTTCTTCAAGGAAACTCCCCAGAACTTCACATCCTTAAGGCGTCACCAGTTTAACTAGTCGGGATCCACAGGACAGCTTATTCGACAGAACCAACCGCTCCTCCTCTTCTCTCCCTCGGGAGCTGGGCGGGCTCTAGGTGGAGTGCAGGGGGATGACAAATTTGCAGCCGAAGGGCGAGTGGTAGTTGATTCCCACCTCCTGGAAGACCTTTTGGGGAATGCCAATGTCACAGAGGTACACGCGCCCGGCCCGCTCGCCCAGGGGCAGCGGCAGGCCCAAGGCCAGCGACCACTTGGCGTCTATGCCCTGCTCCAGCTCGTTCACGGGAGGGTCTATGCTGAGGACGGGTGCCCGGTTCTGGTTCGCCCAGTCCACGGTCGCCTTGTACCAAGGCTGATCCCTCAGAAAGGCATTTTCGTGACAATCCAGGCAGTTGATCACGAGATCAACAGGAGTATCTGGGAGATCTGGAAGAAACACAGGCAGGGTGAGTGCTCAGCCCCAGACTGGAACCACAGGCGAGGATCGGGCCCTTCTCTCCTCGCACCACCAGGGATTTTCCTGCTCATATTCCCGCCTGCAGCACACGCTGCAGCAGCGTGAGCGGCCCGGCCTCGTGCATGGTTATCACTGTCCTTCAGCAGGGAAAGATGGTGCCAACATTTAACCGCACTTTGACAGGCTGGAGAGCATCCACAGAGACAAAATCTCATTAAGCAGCGAGCAGTGCGGCACATGCGAGTGGCAGCGCTCACTCCCCCACTAAAAAAAAACCTTACAAATAATGCAAAGGGACACTGCACCGTGCCCGCGTGGATTCCACCAGCGTGAAATCCACGGGGTGAGGCGAGGACCCCTCTCCTGTAATGGGCACGGGGCACTGCCAGAACAACACAGCCCGCCCAGCCCCACAGACAAAATATTGCGCAGTGCCCTAATTCTCAGGTGGGTTTCTCCCAGGAAGTTTGAATTAATTCCTTCTTGAAAATAATGTGGGTGACAAGGACAAACCCAAGCCAGCTCTGTCGGATTCAGCGTGCACTTGGGGATATGACTGGAATTTTAATAGCTGCCGAGAGCAGCTTGGTTTGAAACACTGGTTTGATGCTCATTTCCCTCAAGCTTTACAGGTGTTGGACTCAGAAGGCAGCTAGAGAAGAGCTGGTCAGACTCAGGCCCGGAGAGCAGTATTTACTCCCGCTGGAAATGCCAGAGCAGCACAACCGCTCTGCTGTGGCAGCGGCCCATGTCCCTGCCCGCGTTGCCACTAGATGGTGCCCAAGGACCGGGCAGGCACTGGGGAACTGAGCTGCACAGGTCTCTGCAGCCCACAGAAGGGGCGGCAAGCAGAGCAGGGCCCGCTCCTCACTCACCTTTGACGCTGGACACCTGCTGGCCCTGGGTCTTGCTGAAGAGGTTCAGCTCGTTGGTGATGGATTCCAGCATCTTGACAAAGTTGGGCAGGAAAAGGATGACATGGACGTCGTGATTGGAGAGGTGGCGCCCGCAGCTGATGCCCTGGGCCCCCTTCACATGGGGGCCGCAGAGCAGGGCCACCGTGGGCCGCTGGTGCACGTTCTTGGGGTTCAGCCTGCACAGCAGAAACGCAAGAGGGGGCTCGTTAATAAACCCAAGCACCGTTGGCCGCCCTCCTCCACAAGAAACAGCAGTAAAACACAAATCTGCAGGGGCTCTGCAAACCTTCCGTTGACTGTGGAGAAAAAGAAACCACATCCTTTTGTGCTGCTAACGCTAAAGTGCTGCCCCGCTCACAGGGTCTCTGCGCGCAGCAAAGCAGCGCGTTTTCACCGGGCATGCAGCAAACCCCAATTCTGCGCAACTTCTCTTTTAGGAGGATCTTGCCCAGCCCCATCGCTGTGATCCAGAAGGACAAAACTGCAAACTGCAGTAGCTTGATTAAAATTCTAAAAATTCTTTTCCCTAAGTCCCTTGACAGCAAAATAAAAGTTGATTTATTTTGATTTAAACAACCTGCAGGCCATTAAGGATGGTTTTCCAGTCAACAGGGCCAAGGCAGCCTGGCACAACATCGTTTCCCTCTTTCAGGCAAGCGAGCAGACCCAGGATTGCAGGTAAAACATTCCAGACACAGAGACTAGTGAGACTTATCTGCCATTTAAAGGACAAATCACCTGGAGCATCCGATGACACAGGAGCAATGTGCACTTGGCTGCTCACATCTAGTATGCCAAGCACACACAAAAGGCAAAGGCTGCATATTTATTCATGCAAGCAGGAGTAATTGCACCAAAGTCTTTATCGAATTGGGCCCTTTGAAGCACAGGATATTCCCCATTTCAGTGTAGACGGCTAAAAGCTAACGTTGAATTATCTTTGGAGAGGTAGACAGCACATTTGTTGTGACCGCTCACTCTTGTTCTTATCAACATCATTGAACTGCAGCACAAAATCAAAGACAAGGTGTACGGCTGGTTTGTTTGGGGGGTTATTTTTTTATTGCACAGAGACACATGCTCACAGAAATTCTGAAGGGATTTTTATGCGCCTGGAGTTTTGCCTGTGCAAAGCTCACTTTCCCAGTGAGCAGAGACACAAGTCTCTTGTCTCTGGCCCCAGAGACATTTCCGCTTCTGCAGCACAGACACAGAGCAGCAGCCCTGAATAAGTCAATGTTCTAAGTCAATATGTTCACCAGCCCCTTCCAAAGGGCAGCTGAAGAAAAAAAGAGAAAAAATGCATTGAGAATATGGAAACCTTCTGCCAGGCTTCCTCCCACTTCAGGAGCCTCACGCTTGTTTTCATGATTATTTGGAAACGAGATGACACGTGAAGCAAAGCGCAAGACGTGCGCGGCGTCTGGGGCCGGAGGGAGGGCAGAGCACAGCCGCCTCCAC